CCAGAGGGCTTATTCCTATTTCCTCATGAAAGAGGCCTGTTCTAGTGCAGATCTCCATTGCTGAAGTCTCCAGGCTTTGATCTGGATCACTTTTCAATCTCTTAGCCGTTTATGACTTGACGTTGGGAAGGTTATAGGTTAATTATTCTGTGGCATGTCCCTCCCATGGGAGTGTTTAGTACTTCCTGGCTTCTAGACTCAGGCTTGGCACCTCAGGCATTGGTAACACAGTAGTAGCCTTCTATTACAAGGCCCAAGATGCTATGTCTCCTTACTTGATGTGGGATCTCCCAGGTGTGTTTCCCACTGTGTCATCTGCAAGGTCTTGTGACTGTTTGAATATCCCACTTCACATCGCCGATTAGTATCCCTTTCTGTTTGTTCCTGAAGCATTGGGCTGGTTCTTGGTGGTTCTTGCTGTTGCTGTTCCTTTGATGTCATGTAGACTGCAACTTTGAATGTAGGACAGAAAACTATGTTCTCCAAACAGGCCCAGCAGCAATATCAGCCTTTCACAGTATCTCTGTCCTCCTGACCATCATTCTTTGTCTGCTTTCTGGGTTCCTCGCTGTCTGAGTCCCAACACTCCCAAGCTACAGATTTGCTCAGGGTTTGCTGAGGAAACAGAAAAAGTGGCCCACAGTCGAGTTGTTCCTGTTGACTAAGGGTGAAGCCTTCTTTGGAAGATGTCACAAGATCTGAGAGAAGAGGCCTCTGGAGAACCTGTACAGTGATGTCCACTGCTGGCCTGCCTGCCAGCCCGGAACCCCTGTCCACTGACTTCTGGAGGCTCAGGGTACAGGCCTACCCAGGCTTCAGTCCTGGAGGAATGAGTCCCTGTCATTGGGGCTGCCCTGACCTTGCCTGGCCTCCCTAGGCCCACGCCTACCCCCACCCCCACCTCTGGGGTTCTGCTTCCCCCTCTGCTCCCTGGCCCCGCCCCTGGAGCTTCCCTGTTATTGCTCCTTACTGTCATGAAACTCCCACAAGAAAGCAGCTTAGGGAAGAGGGGTTCCTTTGGCTTCATGGTGAGAAGGTTGTCTGTCGTGGAAGGGAAGGCACAGCACCAGGAGCTCCAGGCTGCTGGTTGCCCTGCGTTGTACTGAGGAAGCAGAGAGCTCAGGCAGGACACTAAATTAGGTCTGCACCTCACCCGCCCACTTCCTTTAGCCAGGCCCCCCTCCTAAAGGATCCACAACCCTGCATAAAGCTCCACCAACTCAGGGCCACCTGCTCAAACACAGGAGCCTATTAGGGACGTGGCATACTCAGATCCGAGCTTCCGTTCCTGTCATCTCAGGACAGGGTCAGAGCTTTGGCGGGATCTCTACAGAACTGGCCAAAGCAGTATCCGGGACCTCATGCACCTGCTCTCTCAGGGGCTTGTCCTGCCACTCTCTTGCATTGCCCTTACGCTTTCACAGTGGAAAACAGCGTGGGAGCAGTTGCCAGGCTTTCACATGGCACTTGGCTCCATCCCGAGCACTGACTAAAATTTATAATCATTGGTTAGTTAACATTCTGAGCCCTGTCGTTGATGAATCCCACCGTGAACATCACAGAGCATTGACACAAACTTGGAGTATTGACCACTCACTGTGGCCTCTTACAC